CAGCGAATATATAGCCTCTGCCAGGTAAGTCCTACTCACTGCCTTCTCGTGGCGGGGGTGTTGTTTACGAAAGTGAGAGGACGAAAAGCGAATGGAAAACCCTGATTCCAAACCAATGGTGCACATGGGCTCCAGTATCCTGATGGAACGAATGGCGGACGAACCTGTCATTGGTCAACGGCTACCATGGGACTGCATCTCCTCACGATGCTCCATTGCCTTGTGGATCAGACCTATAGTTCAAAGGCTCGGGGTGTGGCCCCTAAGAAAACCACCTGCTTCGGTTTGGGCACCCGGGCAGTATCACAGCCCACACACACAAATAGTGTGGCGCATATGTACCTGGTGCCCTTTTGTACCAATATATATGTGTTTAAATAAAAAATAAATGCACAGACCACAACCTGTTTCTGGCCAGCACTAACTTCCGGCACAGTCATCGCCGGTGTGCCACCTGGCGTCCTCCCTCTGCATCTCAAGCCTGGACTCAGATTGATCACATCGCGATCAGATACCGCTGGCGTGGTTGTGTACAAGACTACCACTCCTTTTGGAGTACCTATCTGGAGTCTGATCATGCCCTGGTCTGCGCCAATCTTACAACTGATCAAAGCCCGTCGGTCTACTCCAGGTGACCGTGAGTTTGACCACAAACGAAGACTGTTACGTAGTGAAATCGGGCAAAGCTTGCGTAAGGACCGAGAAGCCTGGTGGTCGGAGCGTGCTAATGAGATGGAAGCAGTAGCTGCATCTGGTAACTGCCGGAAGCTCTTCCAACTCATCCGAACCACTGGCAGCAAGAAGTCTGGTGTGAGTGAAACAATCTACGAGGATGACGGGATGCCAATCACTAACATCTGTCGACGTCTTGGACGATGGGCGGAATTTTTCGAAGGGCAGTTCAACTGGCCTGCTGCTCCGGCAACATTGACCAGTTTGTCCTGCCCCCATGGCCGGTGACGACTGATCCACCAAACGAGGCGGAAGTCCACAAGGAACGCCAACTCTTGAAACGCCACAAATCACCGGGCCCAGATGATTTAACTCCAGCTCTTTTTAAAGATGGTGGTGACTTTCTGGCTAAGGAACTGACGGTCTTGTTTACAAAGGTTTGGGAGCAAGAAAGTGTTCCAACATCATGGAATGAGTCAATAGTCGTCCCTATCTTTAAAAAGGGTTCACGTCGTTCCTGTAACAACTATCGGGGGATAAGTCTACTTCCGATTGCGTCCAAACTATTGGCTTCTGTCATTCTTCGTAGGTTGTTTAAAACCCGAGAACGATTGACTCGCGAGGAGCAGGCTGGTTTTCGTTCTGGTCGAAGATGCATTGATCATATATTCACCCTCCGCCAAATGTTAGAACACCGTCATATTTATCGCAGGCCAACAATCGTAGTGTTTCTTGATATCAGGGCGGCCTTCGATTCGTTGGACAGGACTGTTCTCTGGGATTGTCTATTGAAGAAGGGTGTGCCTGAGAAGTTCATTAACATCTTAAAGGCCCTGTATACGAACACCTCAGGCAGAGTGAGGGCATACAACCACCTTTCTTCCTTGTTTCATTCGAGCAGTGGGGTTAGGCAGGGTTACCCGATTTCACCATTCCTCTTCAACTTTGCCATCGACGACATCCTAGAAACAGCTCTGATGGATGTAAGTAATGGTGGTGTGGATCTGCTGCCTGGAGAACGACTTCTCGACCTCGAGTATGCGGATGATATTGTCTTACTGTGCGATAATGCCCAAGGCATGCAATCCGCACTTAATCAGTTGGCAATCAGTGTCCGCAGGTACGACATGTGCTTTGCACCGTCCAAGTGCAAAGTACTCCTACAAGACTGGCAGGATTCTCATCCTGTACTCACCCTGGATGGTGAGCAGATTGAAGTAGTTGAGAAGTTAGTGTATCTAGGTAGCTATATAAGTGCTGGCGTTGGCGTGAGTGATGAGATAGATGCACGTATAATGAAAGCCAGAGCGGCTTATGCCAATCTGGGCCATCTTTGGCGCCTTCGTGATGTTAGTCTGGCTGTAAAAAGTCGGATCTACAACGCGTCGGTGAGAGCAGTTTTGCTCTATGCTTGTGAAACCTGGCCTCTCCGAGTAGAGGATATTAGACGTCTCTCTGTGTTCGATCATCGTTGTCTCCGAAGGATTGCTGACATCCAGTGGCAACACCATGTTAGTAATGCAGAGGTTCGGAATCGTGTGTTCGGGCGCAGAGACGATAATTCAATTGGTGTCACCATCTTGAAACACCGACTTCGGTGGCTTGGACATGTTTTACGAATGTCGTCCCAGAGACTTCCACGTCGTGCATTATTTGCCGACCCTGGGACTGGTTGGAAAAAGCGGAGAGGAGGTCAGTGTATGACATGGTGTCGTGGTATGAAAGAAAGCTGCAAATGGCTAGCTTCTGTTGATCCTTCATGACTCCCTGGCTGGGGTCCGAGAGATGGTGTTACACAGTGGCTAGAAACGTTATCGGATATGGCTGAGAATAGAAGCCAGTGGCGAGCCTGCTGTAACCTTCTTTTACTTTCTGCATGAAAATTGGATATATATTTCTTAACTGAGAGAGTTCTTCTGGTTGTACATTCTGTCCTCCCCATCATTACTCTTTTTTTCCTTCTTTTATATATACGCATCTTCTTCCTTCTCCCATTCTCATTATTTTGTGTGGTGCATATGTATCCGGTGCCCTTTGTACCAATATATATGTGATTAAATAAATAAATAAATAAGTTGTTGACCTTGTATCAGAATATTTTTTTACAACAGTTTTTAATATCTGTTTGGATTTGTTTAAGTTCTCTGTTGAATACAGGGGTAAGATGTTTTGACTGATGTATCAGTCTTTCAAAATTGTATTTAGTGTTAAATTCATTGAGATTTGCTGAAGTGTCACAAAATTTCGGACCTACAGACAATTATTGTAACTGTGAATAAAGTGTTATTATAGTAGCTAATGACTTATTTCTCAAGTATTCCTCTAAAGAAAGTGTGCACTTTTGTTGGTTTTAGGGTTTTTATCAACTCTATATCCATGTCATCTGAGCATTTCTTTGACAATGTATGTATGCATTCTTATTTCCATTACGTTCATCTTCTGTTAGTTCATACTATCGATGTGTTCACAAAATATTTCGTTCAATTTCTGATAACCATGATTTAATCGGCATAATTTGATGTAAGATGTTTAAGAGAACCATATTTTGAGTGGATATAGCTTCGACAAATCGATTTCCAGTATGGTGTTGGATAATTTCGTTTGTCTATACAGCTTTATAAAAGTGTGGTTCTAGTACCGGCTACAACAAGTTTTTGCCGAAAAGTCTCAGGAACCCATTAAGTTTCTCACTGTCACGGGATCCTTGCATGTTTTCAAATAACAATCGTACAGTTTCAGTAAATGAAATCGTCAAGTAACATTTTTTTGTTGAACCATCTTAATTGACTCAAGTAGTCAGTTTACTAACAGTATTTGTTAGAAAATTAGAGATAATGTGAACATATTTTACATCGATTTATTTCGACTTTCTTCTCTTCTTTCAGTCCGCTAATGCTGTTTACTGTGTATAACTAAAACGACCAATGGTCCTTGTGATACTCCAACTGGTTCACCCAAATTCCAAAACAGAATGTCTGAATGACCAAACAGATACATCATACTATGCTGTATCATTCAAACTTTAAAACTCATGTGGTTGTATACATACATAGACCCAGACTAAATAATAGATCTCAATATACACAAGACTAAGACATTAATAGTATAAAAACTGGGTAATGGGCTTACAATCAATTCACTGTAATCAGAAGGGGTTTTGTGGAGATTTCAGTATTTTTCATAGTTGAAATCATGAGTCAATTGAAGTTAGACCCTCATGGAAAAACTGGAAGCACTGGATGACCGCTTCGCCCTATTATGGGACTCCTCAGCAGTGCGCATCCACGATCCCGCCTCGCGAGCGAGATTCGAACCCAGGACCCACCAGTCTCGAGCCAGAGCCCTTAACCGATAGACCAATGAGCTGGCATCCGACGGTGTTAATGTCTAACTTCAACCGATCCACGAATTTTTTGAGCAACCATTCACCAATTGTCTTCAGTGAGTTGTTATCTCACAACAGACGTGGTTGAACTCCACTGGTTACTGCTTACCACTAGAACTCCAGGACATGATTTCAACTATGAAAAATACTGAAATCTCTACAAAACCCATTCTGATTATAATCAAATGCTCACTAATGACTGACTTCAAGAGATATTTCCTTGAGTTCTAGTGAAAAGCAGTAACCAGTGGAGTTCTACCAAGTCTGTTGTAGAGATATCAACTCACTGAAGACAATTGGCGAACGGTTGCTCAACTTTGTGGATCAGTTGAAGTTAGACATTAACACCGTTGGATGCCGGCTAGTTCAGTGGTCTATCGGTCTCTGGCGCAAGACTGGTAGGTCCCGGGTTCGAATCTCGCTCGCGAGGCGGGATCGTGGATGCGCACTGCTGAGGAGTCCCACAATAAGACGAAACGGCCGTCCAGTGCTTCCAGCTTTTCCATGGTGGTCTAGCTTCAACTGACTCATGATTTCAACTGTGAAAAATACTAAATACTCCACAAAACCCCCTCTGATCTATTAATTTCCTTTGAGTTTTTCCATGTGTAATCAAATTGTTATTCCCTTTGTGTTTATGGTTAGTTATGTATAATAAAAGATTCTCTACTCAGATTATTATTGATATTTTAAGGTAAACATAGGCAACAATGAAAAATAATTAAAAAATTATTCACGTAGGTGGGAAAATGAGCAGGCGTTTTAGCTTAAGAGTACTCTATTCATTTACTGTTATAGGGAAATCCATTTGACCTTGAAGATGTAACAAATGGAGATTATGCTCATATTGTCTATCAATGGATAGAGACAAATATTGATTAAATTAACCAATCAAAATGAACACTGTCTTTCATTTCGCCTACTCATGTTAAGAGAGATAGATATATTTTTATTACTATGGTTAATACCTGATACCTGATGTACTCATTACTTATAATGTACTGAATCAGACGGAGCTATTAATAGTATTATATAGTATCCAAGTCGTATGATTATATTAATCTTTGGAATTATTTATCTTATTATTATACAAACATCTTATGGAAAAATACATACTAATCAATGGTTAGTACGATTAAAACATAATGGTAATGATAAAGATGAATTGAAAAGATCAGCAAATGAAATAGCTAGAGAACTTGGATTCATAACATTAAATGAGCATAATTATGGTGAACCAAATGAATTTGTATTTACACATATAGGTTTACCATATGCTCGTGGTACACCGAATTACATACATAATCATCGTTTAAATAAACATCCATCAATTTTGAATGCTGTACAAATTGAAGGATTTGTACGTAGAAAACGTGGTTTTCGTCCATTAACTGATGATAATTTAGGTCGAATTAATATTCCAAAAGCAAGAATATTAACGAATAAAGAAAAAGAATTAAGTGAATTACGAAGTAAAACAGATCCATTGTTTAAAAATGAATGGTATTTACATAATGTTGGACAAGCGGATGGTGTTCCAGGATTAGATTTAAATGTATTAGCTGCATGGTCACAAAATATTACTGGTCGTGGAGTGATTACAGCAATTATGGATGATGGTGTAGATTATTTACATCCAGATATAGCTGGTAATTATGCTGCAGAGGCAAGCTATGATTTTTCTAGTAATGATGCTTTCCCATATCCACGTTACACAGATGATTGGTTTAACAGTCATGGGACACGTTGTGCTGGAGAAGTTGCTGCAATTGCTGGTAATGGGGTTTGTGGAGTTGGTGTTGCACCAGATTCTAAAGTAGCTGGACTACGTATGTTAGACCAACCTTATATGACAGATTTAATTGAAGCAGCTGCAATGGCCTATGCCCGTGATCTAATTGACATATATTCAGCTAGTTGGGGACCTACAGACGATGGGACGACCGTTGATGGTCCAAGAAATCAAACTATGCGAGCTCTAGTAGATGGTGTGAACAATGGTCGAAAAGGTAAAGGCAGTTTATATGTATGGGCTTCAGGTGATGGTGGAGAGAATGACGATTGTAATTGTGATGGTTATGCAGCTAGTATGTGGACAATAAGTATTAATTCAGTTACAAATGATGGTCATACAGCTGTTTATGATGAATCTTGTGCTTCAACATTGGCTTCAACATTTTCCAATGGTAAGAGCCCATTTCTTCGTGATGCTGGAGTTGGAACTATTGATTTATATGGAAATTGTACACTTCATCATTCAGGTACATCAGCGGCAGCACCAGAAGCAGCTGGTGTATTTGCTTTAGCATTAGAAGCTCAAAATGAACTTACTTGGAGAGACGTACAACATCTTACCGTACTTACTTCTAAACGTAATCATTTATACGATAGACAACATAATCATAATTGGACAATTAATGGTGCTGGTTTAGAATTCAATCATTTATTTGGTTTTGGTGTACTAGATGCTGGTGATATGGTACATTTAGCAAAAAAATGGAAAACTGTACCTGAACGTTTTCACTGTATTGCTGGAACATTTAATGGTCGTAAAATTGCACGTCTTGGTCAACCTATATTTTTAGAATTGGATACTGATGCATGTATGGGCAATCCGATAAATCAAGTGAGTTTTAATGACATCCTTGAAAAATAACACAATAATTACCTCTTTAAAGAGTAAGGAAATATGCACTTGGGTTTAATATTACATCTATTAACTCCATACTATTCTCGAATTACTTTACACAAAGTTAAGGCGTCATCTGCACTTACACGTTTATTAATCAAATTCTTCTCTTGAAAATGTTGCTTCGTTAGGTCGAATTAATCTACTTTCAGTTTTAATTGGTTGAAGGCCAATGAAAGAGATCCCTGAACCCATTTTTCATGCTAGTTGATACTCATCAAAGATGCATATCTGTTATCTTTAGTAACATTCTCCGTGGGATTCAGACTCACGTTAATCAATGTCAAGAATTTTTTATTTACCACAGAGTTATTTCAGCCAAAGTTGATCAATATGACAGATATTTGCATTGATTAATTAAGGAGTAATTCTGATAGTCGGATTCATTAGTCGATTTAAGATAGACTACCCTTGAAAACTTGGAAGAACTGGACGGCCGTTTCGTCCTATTATGGGACTCCTCAGCAGTGTGCATCCACGATCCCGCCTCGCGAGCGAGATTCGAACACAGGACCTACCAGTTTCGTGCCAGAGACCTTAACCGATAGACCACTGAGCCGGCATCCAACGGTGTTAATGTCTAACTTCAACCAATCCACAATTTTGAGCGACCGTTCAAATGTTTATAATTTTTGACATTTAACGAGGTGGTTATAATTGTGTAACATTTCTTGAAATAGATTCCTAACCACAATGAAAATTTTCTCATAAAACCAACGATTTACTTATAAAGTTTAACAATGTCAAAATAGCTCTTAATACTCGTTTTCACAGGGCTATGTAGGTTCTACACCAATGACTGTGACTGAAGCTAAGATCGACTTTGGGATGTTTATAATCCATTTTTGACTAGTAAGTAAACTGCTCCATCGAAATCACGAGTACTTATCAGATGAGGTAGTTATATCTACGTGTGTTTACGTAGTTTTTGGAACTATACAACCTTACTGAGAAGCGAAATATCCGAGAAAGTAACAACTTCATATATATCAGAAGTGGGTTTGTGGAGATTTTAGTAATTTTATATAGTTGAAATCCTGAGTCAATTGAAGCTAGACCACCATGGAAGACCTGGAAGCACTGGACGGTCGTTATGCAGAATTATTACTATATGGAATTTCAAGTAATTAAATGATTTATGCTGATTGATCTGGCAACAGCATAAATTCTCCCATAAGTTTGTTCTGATCACGTAACATTATGAATCAGAATAAGATGTAAAAAAGCTTTTATGTTACTAAGCAATCCCCTGAAATTTTGACTTCAAATTCAACCATATTTTCATCTAATAGGAATATATGAAAGCTTACATTTTAATATTTCTCAAAATATTAGCGTTTGACTACTCACATTCAATCATTACAATAGTAGATAGGTTTTCCAGTGTTGAAATATAAGTTGATAGTAATCTCAGAACTTTGCTAATCGTTAGTAAATGGGCTAATGAATATACAAAAAAAATCAAGTACAACGATAAGTACAAGATTCAAACTTCCAGTTCCGATACACTTTCACGCTAGACATTACTTTGTCAATGGTTGACTGACTAACGTTTTTTCCATACCGTCAGACTATTAATTTTATCAAATAATGAACTGATTTAGAGTAGGTTTCATGAAAATGTCAAAAACTGACAACGGCGAAACTACAATTTATGGACGAGCCAATCAGAAGCGTATGAATTATTTCAAGGTCACGACACCAATTTCAGTACCTGATGCTCATGTACTATCGGTTCACAGAGGATTTTAGAGACGTAACAATTAAGCATCTACAATAAGTGGGACTACTAAAAAGTTCCTTTATTTGTAATTGCTGTAATCAAATGACTTGTAGAGCTTGTGCAGATTACCATGATGATGTCTTTCGGTGTAATATAGGTTGGAGAAAGAAGTATGCTAGAAAAGGAACTTTTTCACTCTATCCAGTTTGACACTAAGGCAACTTATAATAATCACTGCGAACTGTACAGTAAAAGCACCAATAACATTGGCTGCATAATTCGCAGATGTTACTAAAGCTTCGGCTGTTTAGTGTAGAGATATATGCGTGATGAAAATGACAAGCTTATACAACCGGAGTACTCACAAACAATATTGAAGCTATGTAGTCAAGGTTGAGAGTGTTCTCATGACCTTATCATGGCTCCAGAAATTGAGTATTATGGAGCCATATGGATGAGCTCCTCTACCTTATGCATTACGATTTTGGAACCTTTGAACTTCTTTCTAACCTTGACAAGTTTTTGGACTATGAAAAGGAAGTGTATCCACTCTAATTCTTTGGTTTTGTTATAATACAGTTTTACTCTATACTAACTTTCCTGATTGGCTAATATTTCTCAAAGTCATTTAAGATTCATTCAATGGTCGTCCATAAATTATAGTCTCTCCTCATTTTAATTATATTAACTGATATGTGATACATACAAAAAGATTAACACAGAAAATTTCGTGGAAACTTTAAATGTTGACAATTTTTCTTTCCATCAAAGCAATCAAGATAGGTACTATAAGTGGAACGAAACTTCCTATTACTTTTATAGAACATTCAATGAAGTTATAAAATCTGAGAACCATACAGTAAATACTTCATTTGCAAAATGTCAGTCAGTTGTCTCAGTCTTCAATGTTCCTTCATTTTCACAGTAATCATTCACTGTTCTCGTTCGCTTCTCTTCGATCTTCTTAACATTCTGCTACCAGGTATTTCACTGCCGATTGATTATACATACTACTTATATCTGTCAACATACCAAAATGGTAGTATACGACGTGAACCGTAATTAAAGTGTTGTATTATCTTAATATGCTTTTATTTGATATTTGAAGACTGAAAATGTGAAACAGGTTCTGATTTCGTTAACATTTATTGGTAAAATATAACAACATAAATGAAGAGACTTATATTCATTATACAACTCAAATGAACACTAGTTTCCACTCTCGTACACCATAGTAGAGTTTATAAAAAAATATTTCTTCCATCATTCTAGTGGACTATAACACCCTATGTTGAAGTGATAATGTCGAAGACAAATATACTAATTTTTGAGATAGCCCGAAAGGGACTTTTGAAGCCTTAATCTTATTATCACTGATAGTTAAAAGTAATTTATCAGTTGTTTAAAGAAACATCGTTAGTGTTGTTAGAGAGGCTAATCTGATCTGCTGTTATCAGAAAGTATGATAACAGTTCACTTATTCAAAGAATTATTTTAACTGGTAACCTTTAGTAAAGCTAGGAAACATTAAATTCTTTCTCTTTATCAAGGTATTGAAGCTAAGTGACTTTTAGTGGCTTAAATTTCTTCATAGTATAATGCCAGATATCTCAGATTTACCACTAATACCGAACATTCCTAAGCCATACTTTTATCAAAACTCATAAGTTTATAAATTCATCTGATTTAGAGTTAAACTAAAACCTGTTTGATATATGACGTGACGATGCCGCCAATTAGAATACAGTGAATTTATCGATCAGAGTAATGATACACGGAAACCGTATGAAAAGTCTTGAGCACTTATCATTCCTGTTTTCTGTCTAACCCAGCTAGTTAAGTCCAGAACACCAATAACAGCCTCTGCAATATGAATCATTATTTTTAAACATACTGGGTTTATATACGAAACAAAACTGACCACATCGTACCATAAAATAGAAAATAATATTTGTACAAGATTTAGCTAAATGTGGCTGTGAATAGGGGAAATAGTGATTAGTAGATTGCGGATAACTCAGTAATGGTAAATCGTACAGAAGTAGTTTATGGGTCAAAATGAAACTTATAATAAGAGGGACAGGAATATGAATAGTTAAGCTACTTAACACTTATACAATAGGAAATATAAGTATCATATTGGTTCATAAATAGTTCTCAAAAGTTACCACTCATAATTCTCTTCGGGATATAACAATAACGCGATGGCGTTTGAAGCGGACGGTGCTGGGTTCGAGTCCTAGAGTGAGTATCAACTCTGAGATGAAGGTACCTCCAGCTGACGAGTCCCAAATAGGACGAAACGCGCCTCCTGGATCCCCCTACTAGCCACTATCCATCTTTGCTTGTTCAGGTATTAATTTTTATTTTCAAGTAATTGTAAAAGATCAACAGTGTCCACTATGAAGCGGATGATGGGAAATGGGACTATTAAAAAAAGATCGGTCATTGTTCTTTCCTTATTTATAATTTATCAATGATGAATGTTATACATTTAATTTGAAATTTACTAATTGTGTAGTAACAACAACGTTCAGCAATGTCGTAATCAGACTGACAGAATATTACAAATATTAAAAGTCAAAAGAGAATGAATATACATGAATGGATTTTTGTAACTATGATCCATTTCACTTAAATTCTAAAGACATCAATATTAACTACATTCACTTAACGTACCGTTCAGACAAAGTATCCATTCGGAAAACTATCGCGTATTTTAGTGTCTATGAGATCAGTCACGTAAAATTATATGAAGCGAATAATTGATGATTACGTACGAAGACGGAACAATTAATACGAAGCCTTAATTAATATACTATAATTACTAACTCACATACTATGTACGAATATGTGTACTTAGCTTCGAGCCACACTCTAAGTGCTGAGAGATAATAATACTACCCAGTTCCCTTAATCGGAGTAGGTAAAATGAGTTTTGATTTAGTGGCTTAGTAACTGAAAGTCGACTACTCCAACAACTGAGCAAACACTAAAATGAATTAATATTAAAAGATAATTAAAATAACTCATAGAGTCATTGAATAAGAAAAAGAGAATTCACCGAAGAAAAATTTTCTTTTCAACGAAATCATTTACTTAAGCTGTACATTCGTATATATGGTTATATAGAAAATATATGTCTACAGGAGGCTAGGAAAGTTCGCATTATAAATAGATTCGACAATGATTAGCTAAAAATGGTTAGTGAATATAGCTCTGTATCCATTTAAAACTTAAGTGAGCATTGTAAAATTACCCTGCATATGCTAACTTAGTTTATTCCGGCGATCGTGTTTGTAAACGATTGTCATTTCAAGCTTTTAGCTCACTCTTTATTTCCCCATACATTTCATCTTATTGGTATCAATATCAATGTTGAACTTGATAGTTTCAAATAAGTAGAACGTTTCTGAATGAGTAGAAAAGGAAACAATCGTTTGTACCATCTAGATTTGTGTTGATCTTATTTCGGTTACTTATTCACTCTGAAGAAGCGGATCATATTAAGTCACGAAACGTCAGAAATAAAATTTTCTTCTGATTGCGATATGACAAACAATATACTGTTTTGTCTTATTGTTTTCGTAGTATATCCTTCGAGAAGATGCTAAGATGTAGAATCTATTACAACATGACCATTCCGATTGCCGGTGTTGTTAAATATTGTGCTTCTAAAATTTTCCTTAAGATTCTTAAAGTTTCTCTGGTCTACGATTTTGAAATTTCCTCAGTCAAATTTGTTTTCGTATACAGACAGCGTCAATTGGTGACATATTCAAAGATTAACAACCAGGGCTACAAACATCTATCCTCTGACAATCCAACAACAAAACCATCATAACTAATCAGTTTAATCAGTTACCATTCTTTTAATACATTTCTAGTTTTAATTAAGTTTAATAGTCTATAACATGAACTGACAAGGACTAGTGGGCTGTTCCGTGCTTCTTGGCTTTCAATTATCGTTTAGCTAAGGTTACTTCGTGATGTAAACTATGAAAACCATCTCCGCAAACTTTTAATATTTCTGATTTAGTTTGAATGAAAGTACTAAATGGTCATTTATCATCTTCAAACTTAAAATTTCTATCTCATTGTAAGTTCAAATGCCAATACAGCATCTCATAATTGAAAGCCATCCAGTTGTGTGTGCCACCAACACCAAATCGGTAATCGAACTTTTAATACATGTACTATTTATTTGGTTTTGACCTTAACATATTTTCTATTCGATAGGAGTGGCTACAAGGAATATAAGGAACTGAGTGGACAGTGAAAATCCGGATTTCAGTTCATTGTCAGAAATCAGCTGTTTTTACCTGAAAATAAAGGAAGATATTTGCCTCGATAAAGACTAACCAAACTAGTCATTAGTGTTCTCGTATTGTCTTATGATTCGAGTAAGCAGACATATAAAAGATTCGATTTCATAACACTTTGCAGTGGTGATATGTTTTTTGGAAAATCATCATTTCACTAAAACTCCACAACATCACCATCATTAAGTTATTTTGTATAAGTGTTCATCATTTTCTTCACTTTCTTCTTATCTATTTTATTCTATGTTGATAGGTTAATTATTTGGAACATGTTCAAGCTTTTATAACAATTAAAGCAACACGTCGTGGTGATATAACTTTATTTCTTACTTCACCAATGAATACAACATCAATGCTATTAAGACGTCGACCTAAAGATACTGATAATACAAGAGGTTTTACTAAATGGCCATTTATGACTACACATATGTGGAGTGAAAATCCTCGTGGAAAATGGTTACTTACAATTGGATTAGATTCAAATTCTAAAGATCCATTAGGTTATGCAATTCTAACAGAATGGATACTTGTTGTACATGGTACACAACAACCACCATATGCTCATCTATCTGATTCTATCATAAATATTGCACCAAAATTAGGTATAGTCAAGAAACAACATGAAACTAAACTATTTAATGCTTGAAAAAGATGAATAAACAAGGAAATTCAAAAAAAAATGAGGAAAAGTCGTTTGATTTCCATTCGTATTTTAGTTTATTCTGAGCATTGTATCAATGTTGTCTATTTTTATGACATACTACATGACATTGATAGTAATCATGTTCAATGTTCAATTATATTATAAAGTCAATCCTATCATTTTAACTGTTGTAAAATACAGAAAACTTGATTGTGATCCCATGATCATGATCATAATTGTGATCTTATTGGTAACTAATGCCTTTTCTACTTCTTGAGAGTAATCAACATCGAATTGCACAATCTGTTGTTGTTTTTTGTTTGTTTTTTTAAAAACAAACATGACGTCATTCATGACATATGTCATAGTTTTTGTGATTATCCGTCTGTCTGTCTATCTATCTATCTGTCTATCTATCACAAGATGTAATATGTATTTTATTATTATTTGTTATGTCTTTCGAATAGAGTTTGTAAATGGTTTGGTTACTAGATTCATGTGATTATCATCTCTATTCTTGTTTGTCCATATATCCACTTTGTGATTTCTTATTCCCCTTCAAAATTGAATAAACCGATTGATTATTGTTAGTCACTGGGATGTTCTTATCATATTAGTAGATTAATTAATATATGTGAATGAAGAATATTCATTTCAATTCAGGTTCTGCAATTCTACAACGAAATTAATCATACTTGAAATCATGAGTCAATTGAAGCTAGACCACCATCGAAAACCTGGAAACACTGGACGGCCGTTTCGTCCTATTATGGGACTCCTCAGCATGATGATAGACCACTGGACTATCGGTTAAGGGCTCTGGCTCGAAACTGGTAGGTCCTGGGTTCTAATCTCGCGAGTGCGGGGTCGTGGATGCGCACTGCTGAGGTGTCCCATAATAGAACGAAACGGCTGTCCAGTGTTTCCAGGTTTTCGATGGTGGTCTAGTTTCAATTGACTCACGATTTCAATTTTGAAAGATACTGAAATCTACACAAATCCCCTTCTGAAATTAATCATCCCGAAAGTGTGTCGAGTTTAAGGCGAAATACATGGGTCCTAAATTTGTATATTACTATAATTTTAAAAGATGAATTTTGTCCTAAACTGGACGGCCGTTTCGTCCTAGTGCGGGATTCCTTAGCAGTGCACATCCACGACCCTGCCCTGCGATATTCGAACCCAGGACCTATCGGACTCGTGAGCGAACGCTCAACTTCTAGACCACTGAGTCGGCATCCAATGGTGTTAATGTCTAACTTCAACCAATCCAATAACTTGATCCACTGTTCATTATTGTCTTCATTGGGTAACTATCTCACAACAGATCCGGTTGAACTTCACTGGGTACTGCTGCCCACTAGAACTTCAGGAAATACCTCTTGAAGCCAGTCACTAATGAGCATATGATTATTATTCTATGAAAGATAGATACACAAATAAACGGATTAGAAATTAATCTCTGAAATGTTTTTTAATGATTATAGGTGTGTTTCTATGTAAGTGTAAGTATTTATCGTTAACTATGGATTATCAGTTTTAAAATCAAATCAGTTTTTTAATACAAGGTTCAGTTGTATTTCTTACTGATACGCCTTGTTGATTGAACGCTATATTCGGATCCTAAGCTAGTTTCGTAACCCGCAAGCTAGAACTACACAACGGCTTGAAGACGAGAGAGAAGGCACAAAATATATGGGAAGCACTTTACTCCAAAGGTTCCTTTATGTACAGAAAATATAGGGTTTTTATAGTATTTTAAAAGACCTTGGGTTTTACTGAAAATTCTAGAATACTGCTTAACATAGTAGCAGTGTATTAATCAGCCAATCAGAATCTCTACATGTGACTATTCATTTTCGTTATGTTACTAACATAACTTCTAATCAAACGCTGATTGGATGAAATGCTCCTTAATGTTTCATGAGCTTGTCATGTCGATTGCGGGAAATTTGCAGGATCATCCCAACACTTTCTCTCTTCTTTAGAACTTTATAACCATGTAAATTTGTTAGAAAACAACATTATGGGTGACCAATGTGTCTCTGTGGCATTTTGAAAGTTTATAATATATGTCATATAAGGAATTGGTGAACTGAGACAAAATAACACCTGTTATATTCATGTGGCGATTTCAACCTGTTACGTTGCACATAATGTGTTAAGTAGGAATTGACGGAACCATAATGATTACCGACGCAGAAACGTGTTCACAAACTCTATTCTAATAATAATACTCTTACCAGTGGACAACAGCAGGACTAATTCTCTAAGTTACAGTGCAAAATTGTAACCAGTGGTATCTAGTAACGTCGGGTGCTACTGATGACGATTGCCATAAAATCTAAAGATTTAAGGCTCAATCTCTGACATCAGTTGTGAGTGTATATTATTAACGAGTCCTATATCAGGATGAAACAAATATTAAGTGTTTTGTGACTTTCAATGGTAGTAGTTTTTAGTAATTTTAGCAGTTGAATTCACGAGTTGATCTAAGCTAGAGCAACATTGAAAAACTAGAAGCACTAGACTCGTGAACTAAATAGTTAACAAAATATTTTGTAATAGTAAGTAACTCACAGTTACAGATGTTTCTTGTTATCTGTTGAATAAAAATAAGTATTTTCGTGAGCAAGGAAACGAATGGGGACAACTCAATTTATGTGACACGAGATTACAGACAATCTCACTAAAATCTGACTACCATACAGTAAACAGTTAATTTGCGAACTATTAATCAATTGTCTCAATCTTGACGGTTCCTTCTGCAAATATCAGTCCATAGTCTTCAATTATTACTGTTCATGCATTTTCATACCCATTACGTTTCATTTCCACTCTTTCCTTATCGATCTTCTAGTGAAATACATTCTCTGCCTGACTATCGTCATATACTACTTATGTAGATGTAAGCAACTCATAAAACACCAGCATGATCTCAAAATCTTGTAATCTGGAAGAATGTGTCAGTCTACAAAATCTTAATCATTCAGCTTTATCAATAATGACTTAATATCTATACTGGTAACGTGTGATATAAATATTGTACAGTGGACGATAATACTGTAAGACTGAGCTCAACAATTCTATCATTACTATATATCAATGAAGTATCATTGAATTTATTCTCACATTTTATCACCATTACACAGTTTATTTTGTTTAGGAAAGATTAACAAATTTAACAAAAGTCCAACCTGTCTATTGGCAAATATTTTTTTAATTGATGAAACTGGCTTTGTGATTATAAAACTCAACTTTCAACCATTGACTTATAAGTTCAGTTGCCTCATCATCAACTGCAGTTTAAATATCAAGGTAACCTTCTTTCAAACACAAAGTCCGTTTAAATAAAACCAAAACAACAATTGAGGTAGAACAATATGATTTTATTATATTGTTCTTGGTTTCTCATCAACTGCTTACCACCACTACAACTGGCATTGATGGCGGAAAGTATTAGAATAACAAAGATTATTAATAATGATTCAAAACATGGGGGGGGAGTAAGTGAGGCAGTAATTAAATAGAGTACGGAAGCAAATAAGATAGACTGGGTGAGAATGATAGAAATTATAAAGAGTTAACACAAGATTCAGATCATTTGAAAATAGGTATAAAAGACAAATTGGTAGTTGGTAGTTGGATTTTGAAATTCATCCTAAGGGTTACATAAGTTTGGAGAATTAAGCGAATGAAATAAAGATCCAAGATCCGCTTTCCTCGATTTAATTAGTCTGTCCATAAATCATAGTTTTACAGTTATGGAACCTGTGTTCACTTCTGTAACCCGCTTCGTAAGTCGTCAATGAATTTTCATCCATGTTTCCAAGAAAATGAGGATTATCATTAATTAATTACCTACTCATATGACCTTGAGTAAGCATCAGGGATGATTTTCGTGTATGTTAGATAAGAATTAGTTTGGGGAAGACCATATAGCATAATGGACACCAATAAAATAATCTTAGTAATGACAAAAACAAAAAATAATTTACCAAAGTAATGATAAGTTGATTACTGTCTCTTTCTGGATACATAAATTAGATATGAGTTTCTTTATTGTTACCACTAAGACAAACCGGAGAAAAATACCACGTCTTTTAGTTCGCTGATAATTTCGAAGAATCGTGAAATGTCACTAGGACGCTTGGTATCACTAAAGTTAACTAAATGACCTTGTACAGATTTTCTGAATTTCAAGCATGATTTCTTAGAAGATTAGAATTTTAGCTTATGGATTCCTTGTTCGATAGCTTCTTTATTTTGAAGAAATTGTTTATAGATATTGCCGTCGGTTATGGTTCAATCTTTAGTACATGAATGTTTATTATGCTATTACAATGTATATATTAAGGTAGAAATTTTGATGAGATCATTGATTCTGATGTTTTTTCTATCATTGACTAATATCAGCTGGAGAACTACGGAGAAGCCCCCCAAATGCCCTGGTACGGCCAAGAGTGGGGAGAGTCCGCTCTCCCTCTCCAAATGCTCTCACATGGCCACGCGAATATATAGCTTCTGTCAGGGAAGTCCTACTCACTGCCTTCTCGTGGCGGGGGTGTTGTTTACGAATTTGAGAGAACGAAAAGCGAATGTACGGCGCTTTAACCGGGTTGGTGGACATGGAAGGTCCACCTAGGGGATTTGGAAAACCCTGATTTCAAACCAATGGTGCACATGGACTGACTCCAGTATCCTGAGGGAACAAATAGCGTATGAATCAATCGTTGGTCACCGGCTACCATGGGACTGCATCTCCTCACGATGCTCCACTGCCTTGTGGATCAGACCTATAGTTCAAAGGCTCGGGGTGTGGCCCCTAAGAAAACCACCTGCTTCAGTTTGGGCATCTGGGCAGTATCACAACCCTCACACATATCGAATGAGATTTGTGTGGCGCATATATATCTGATGCCCCTTTGTACCAATATTTATGTGTTTAAATAAAAATAAATAAATAAAAAACTACGGAGAAACAGAAAGCACTGGACAGCTGTTTTTTCCTTAGTTCGACACTATTCCAGAGTATAGACCAACGACTTTACCTGAGATTGAACCTATGACTTTAAATTATTATGGTGAACTAAATACCTTTCAAACCGATAAACCGAAATCCAATTGTTCATCCTATATTTCCAATGGACTGAAAAAATATTGTTTTATAGGGTTCTGACCTAATAGTCTAACGTTATTTTAGTCTTCATGAGAACTGAATATTTTGGCTTTAAACACCTATAAAGATGTGAATACATATTGTAGTAAAGTCTCACATTAGGATGGTATAGTTATACAGTTTCCCCTCACTTCAATATCTCTATATAATTCAAAACTGACTAGTCATATGACAAGGAAATTTCCAATCTCATCATTTAGTTTGGACAAAACAAATAATGGAGTTCAGTAGACAAAGTAACAAAACTATTTCCTATTAAAATAAAACAAAATAATCCTATCATTCAGATTAATTGTAGTACAGACATATTGATATAGATACTGTTGAGCATGTCCAGTTCTTATGTCACCATAGTGATAATGTTGCCCACGCAAAAAAGAAAAAAAAATAAGCGAGGTAGTTTGATATTTAAGGGGATAATAAATTTAGTTGAACCACAATTTACAGAGAGAAAGAAAATTTTCTATTTTTTCTAAG